ATCAGAGAGAGAGTTTTGATAGAATTGTGGCGTGCTCCCATGATCTTGATCATTTGGTTTAAGTTGGTCTTTTTCTCGTCTTGATGTCTTGATTTGAGGTTCAATGAACACTGTCAACAACCAATAGCTTCGCTCTCTCCAGCACCAAACAGGAAGCAGCATGCCTGGTGGACAGTAAACATGGAGGGCCCTCCAGTGAGGTGCAAGAACATGAACAAGTCTTGGTTCTCTTGTACTGTGGAAAAGGAGGAGAAACTGGCCGGAGGTGTGGAGTTAACAAGAGTCAATGTTTAACCATAGACTGTATAAATTAATGAATGTAGCTACTGTGATGTCGCCCTTTGGTTTATGGACGAGTCTGGCATTTTGGCTGTTTTGGAACCAGAAGTGACCATATTTGGGCAAAAGGCTGGCTCTGTGGAGGAACTTAGAAGCTGAGGACACTATCTGCCGATAGTTTGTCCCCCAAAGCAGACCATAAGTAATTTTGCGTAACTTTAGAGCCCAGTTTTTACATAACTCACCTGTTAAGATTTTGTTAAGGCTTAAACACGTTTATTTCCGCTGTAAAGTAAAGTTATTAATAACTTTTCATTTTTAATAGCAGTTACAACAACAAACAAGATGACAACAACCAAAATGATATGACAAACGGACAAACAGACAAACAACTGAACAAATGAACTAGCAAAAAAGGAGGTGGGGGAGTACAGAGTATGACAGAGATTCAATTATACAGTCTGTTTACGTTTTCTCAAAACACGATCTAATAAAGTTCCAGGGACTGTCAAATTCATCAGGCATAGCATCACATCATCTTGAAGAGTTAGAGCAGCCTTGTTGCCTTGTTGTCAAAGATAGCAGAACACAACAGCTTATACATTGTTGAGACTGTACCTCTCTTGCCAGCAGCCCTCATTAATTGGTCTTCCAAGTCTCTCTTGTTCCCTATGTCCATACCCTTAGAAAGCAATGACTTCAAAACAGATTTAATTTGCAGGTAAGATAAAAATTCTGAATCTCTCAGCCCAAACTTTTTTAACCAACCATTTTTAAACACCTGCCCCACCTGTTTTATGTTATGTTGCTGTCATATACTATTTTTAAGGACTTTACCTCCTAAGTAAAGTTGGGCATTATTAACATGAGGGTCTATGGGGATTGACTCACCCCTGGTTCCAGCCTTAAGTGGCCATTAGAGGAGCTGCAGTTTTTGCAACTATGCGTTGGCTTCATTTTTCAGCCTCAGAGGTTGCTCCTTGTGTTAAATACCGCTTGTATCTGATCCACCAACCAGCACTTACTTTAGTGAGAAATCTTATTTTTGAAACGGTTCATCTCTCACTCCCACTATCTCCTTTCACTAACATAACACAGCCAACCACTTGTTGGTAGCGAGTTGAGACAACAAGTTTGTATGCAAGTACTGTGTATCTTTTTTGAGGACACATGAGGAATTGTCATATTTCTGAAAGGGATTTTAGTGTAATATTTTTCACCAAGAGCAGGACTGGTAATAATCTCAAAAGGAATCTGGTTCTAGTCTTGCAAATAGTGACCCTGCATGATCCTCAGTCTTTGCAAAATCTTTCAGTGTGAGACTTAAAACTCACACTGTCTGTAGATGTGAGAAGGTGCCAGACTTTAGTCTTTTAAAAGTCTTCCTGTGTATGGTTGGCGTTACTTGACAGAAACAATCACATATGGAAATGCATGTTGATGAACAGGTGCACATGTAACATTTAAGAGTTATCACATGTGACAGCACATACATATTCCTCATTTCTCTCTGAAAGTTTGATGAATGCACAGTATGATGTGTCTTGTACAGGAAAATATCTTAGATAGGAATAGTGTCGCTAAATCTCTGCTGTCCTCCAGTGAACGGATGCTTACTAAACCTGTAATTAAGACATGTAAAGTGTTTATTGGCACACAGTGTATACGCTGTACATGGTTATACAGCACACCTCCAGTCTCGAGGGATAACATCAGTGTCAGAAGGTGGATGTTGTCGTGATTGGGTTAAACAATGAGGTCATGGCTCCTTCCTTGTCTTATCAGGCAGGGCTGGTGTGCTGATATCATTGTAAGGATCTGCTCTTGTTAATAATTAATCTTCCTCTCTGCCCTCATGCCCGTTCTTTGGCCTCCCTCAAAGTACATATGACACTTCAACACTGCTTTCACCACAGTTCTCCACTGTGTTGCCTTTTTTGTGTGCATGGACGTGTGTGTGAATGACAGCCTGAGCAGGTGTTTTGTTTGGGAAAGCTGCTGATTTACTGTTAATCTATATGCTGTTTTATTATGGAGGAATATTTAAATGAGGATTGTTCGTGTTGATTTCACGCATTTTGAGTGTTTTGGTCAACGCATTGTTTGATATGTTTTATAAATAAAGTGGCTTGACCTTACTTGTTAAGATTACATTAACACCACTGTGAGTTTTTACCATTTACACTACAGTGTGAATTGCGTGGCAGGTGTTAATATATCTTTATGAATAATATACTCTGTATATGAAGAATGAAGCATCGTTATCATTCTCACACCATCACATAGTGTGAACTATATAAACTCAATGGCTTGCTGACTAGATTAGATGGTGCAAGTGAGAGTGAGTCTGTGTGTTGATCTGCAAAGCACACAGTTTGTATTAGGGTTGTCTCAAGTGTTGACTCCAAAACAGAGTAAATCCCCACAGACCTCCATGTTGAAATGTCCAACGTCACAGCAGAGATAAACATGTTCACAGCCTGGTACAAAAAAAAAAAAAACGGTTTTGGTCTTTATAGCTAAGCCCCAAAGTTATGCATATTCAAGAGTGTGGCCGCTTTGAGTTCGTGTCCTCTGCTTCTCAGTTACATCCGACCCTTGCTGCTCTACAGCGCCAACCTCTCATCCAAATATGGTCACCTCTGGCTCCAAAAACAAAGATGGTGACAGCCAATATGCTTAACGTGAGGCTTTAAAACGGGAGTCCACAAACCAATGGGTGCTTGGGATTTGACGTTTTTGTCCACCTGCCACTGTGGCTAATGAGTTCCAAAACATACCTGCTACTTAATAGATTACCTTTTTTTTGGTTGGGGGGGGGGGGGGTAAATCTAGCAGCCACTTGCGTATTTTCTGTAATTTTCAACTTTTCTCATCAAGTGCTTGTTTGCTTTATGATAATTAATGTGTAAAAATTCTGACAGGCAGATGAGGACAAACATGCACAGGTGAGATTCTCTTGTCAGGTGACTTTTTCTTCATTACCTTGGATAAGCAAATTTACACAGTATGATAAAAGTCAATTTTCATACCACGATGCATTGCTGCTAACCTAGTTTATATAACACAGTTCATGTTCTTACATAAAATGAAGATAGATTTCATTCATTCCAATCTGTAACAACTTTATCCAAGTCCACGATTGAAAAGAGCAGGGAGAAGAAAAATCTTTATCTCTACCTGTCTGTGTGTTCTCTATTTAAACAACATAAATACCTTTTAAAGCACTTGTACACACAAAGGTAAACATCGCTCATTGAAGGTGGAGTCAGAGTTTCTGGACAAAGATGGATGATATTTGCACCCAGCACAAACAAATGCGCCCCTCCCGTCAGTGCTCCTTCAGAAGCTCCTTGTTAACATCCCTCTGTTCCCACTCTCCTTTTTCATTATACAACCGTGGCCTTTCCCATGTCCTGTGTACAAGCACATCACAATTGTGTTGTGTGGCTCAGTCCGAGCCACTTTGTTTGTTTCCCATTTACAACCCAGGACTGTGTGTGAACACCAGGTTTTTTTCTTCAGTGCTCCCACAGAACAAACCGCTTGGCGCAGTGGTTAGCACGAGCATGCCATGTACAAAGGCAACGTCACAGAACAAACAAGTAGAGGTCTGAAAGGAGATATTAACTGAACTTTACAAAAGCATATTGAATCAGGATTGTTGACTTCACGTTTGAAGTCATGCTGTCCAGTCATTTTGTCTCTTTACATTTTCTTAAATTGAATAAGCATCGATAACACGTGAAATTACTTGCCAGAGAATTTCACAGTTTGACAGGGGCGGCTGTGTCAGGAGGTGGAGCGGGTCGTCCACTAATTGGAGGGCAGGAGGTTTGATCCCCGGTTCCTCCAGTCCGCATGCCAAAGTATGCTTGGGCAAGATACCGAACCCCAAATTGCTCCCGATGGCTGTTCCATCAGTGTGTGAGAGGTCACTGAGTAGCAGGTGGCACCTTGAATGGTAGCGTCAGCCACCAGTGTGTGAATGTATGTGTGAATGGGTGAATGTGACATGTAGTGTGAAAGTGCTTTGACACCTTTGATTTTATATAAATCATGTGAGATTTATAGTTACATCCAAAGTACAGTAGATGAATAACAGGCATGTCAGACAGATGAATTGAATGCCTAAAGGTGTTTACTGAAGTGAGTCTGACTGTCTCATCCTCCAGTATCCCGTATTTCACTGCCTTCTGCCCAGTGCATGCTGGGATGATGGGATAATGCAGAATACCAACAGCAAGACTGTGAAGAACCTCACCTCAGTCTAACCTCTGTCGCTCACTGCTTGCAGCTGTATTTCTCACCTTTTCTTCTTTGAAGTATTCTCACTCAGACTAGTGTTTTCCTCAGGACAGGGATAAAAGTATTAGTGCGTCTTGTTTTGCTCTCACTCGGTGTTCCCCAAACATGGCTAGGGAGGTGACTTCCCTGATATTGAATCAAAATGCAGCGGCTGCCTGGAAGTACTGTATGAGGAGTAAGTGTTTCCCACAGAGGAAGTAAGCCATTTACATGTTTTTAGATCTGCCTAGATTCCCAATAAACAGATGCCACTCATTCCTACAAACTCTGGATGTGTGTGTATTAGTCTCATGTTTACCTAATGTGGTAACTGCAGTGGCATCATGCAGGAAACAAGCGTGAGTCACCGTTCTGTGATGTGGTGTTGGTTAGAAATGTGAAATGTATAACTACATGTATGTTTTATCCTGCAGGGGGACATAGAGAAAGGACTGGAGATGAAGAAACTGGTGCTGTCTGGTTTCTTGGCCAGTGAGGAGATCTACATTAACCAGCTGGAGGCCCTGCTACTGGTGAGATGCACACACACACACACACACGGTGCACGAAACACAGTGCACAAAACACACAACACCACGTGTTAACATAATACAGCTGGTGTGAAGAAAATGTCTCTCTCTGACACTGACTGACAGATTCACTTCTTTTTGGTGGCAAAAAAAAAAACCCCAGTGTGTTAAAGGGACAGTTCACCAAAAAAATCAAAATTGCGCATTTTTGCTCTTACCATTAGTGCTATTCATCACTAGTTTTCTTTTGGTGTGATTTGCCCGGGTGTTGGAGATATCGGCTGTAAAGATGTCTGTCTTCTCTTGAGTATAATGGAACTAGATGGCACTCGGCTTGTGGTGCTCAAAGAGCCAAAAATAAATACATTTGCAAAACTCAACAGCAATGTCTCCTTCCAGAAATCATGACCCAGTTACTCAAGATAATCCACAGACCTTGTTGTGAGCAGTTTCATGTAGGAACTATTTTCTTTCTACTCGGGATGCACTGATTTATCGGCTGGACATCTGTATGTGATGATGTTCACCTTGTTGACTGCCATCGGCCTTCCTGCAAATAATATGACTTTCACTGATGGCGTTGGACGATGTTTTTCTGTTGTGTCACAGCAATTTTGTGCAGGCTAAAAAGCAGCGCTCGAGGCTAACAGCGTCCTGTCATCCTGGGGACAATAGAAAACATTTTGGGAATGGACAGAGATCTCGCCTGGGATGCTGTCAGGACTAAATAGAATAAACTCACCACTGGTGTATCAGGGGGCGCCCCCTATTGTTTCCCTGTTAATGTGACATTGTTAACAACAAATCTGTGTTAAAGGGAAATTTCGGTTTATTTCAACCCGTCTCCTATCGTCCTAAATTTGTTTCAAGTGACTAGTGACATAGAAATAATAGTTAGCATGTTAGCCGTTAGCCTAGATACAGCCGTAGCGTCAGACCTGTTAAAACGTAATTGAACGGGCATCCTTTCAAGTGCAAAGTTAGTCCACTAAACAAGCTTTTTTTCCACAAAGACCGCCTCATATCATTAGGATAAATGTCAGATAACATATAGAAAACGACATGTAAACGTGTTGTCTTACCTTAC